ATTTAACAGAAGTTGGAGGCTGCCACCACTAAAATCCATCCATGAGTCTGTCCTCATCTTGCCGCTGTGTCCGCTCCAAAGAAACCTTATCCTAATTCACAATGTGTAATTCATACTCATCTATTATTTGGTGGCTGATGAGCAGATGCAGGGTAGAGACGCTAACCCAATATCCTCATTACCACTCTACAGTTTTGTTTTGTTTCCCAAACAAGGTGGCTTTCGTGGGTAAGTGAGTTTGAAAGGGGCAGCTAAACTTTTCCCTCTTACAGAGAGACTGATGCATCACAAAGCAGCAATACAGGCATGTGTTTAAAACAACCCCCTCTCCCCCCCCAAAAAAAAAAATTCTGAGAAAATAGGAGCTCTAACATGCTAGTGCCAGTTTCAGGTTGTAAGAAGAGCTGAACTTTTCAACAGGCTGGGATTCTTCCAAATTGAGGGATGAATTATTTCTATGAAAATGTTGCAAGTCAGGCCTTTTTATGTTTGTAATGCATAATGTAGCAGCAGGAAGGAACAACACTTGGGCTGTGTCTACATTGGCAAGATTTTGCGCAAAAGCGGCCACTTTTATGCAAAATGTTGCCACCTGTCTACACTGGCCACGAGTACTTGTGCAAGTACACTGATGTTCTAATGTAGGAAATCAGTGCTTCTTGCGCAAATACTCTGACGCTCCCGCTCAGGGATAAGCCCTCTTGCGCAACTGTTCTTGCACAAGAGGCCAGTGTAGACAGGCAACGTTAATTTCATGCGCAAGAAAGCCCAATGGCTAAAATGGCCATCAGAGCTTTCTTGCGCAAAAGAGTGTCTACACTGGCACGGATTCTTTTGCGCAAGAGATGTACTTTTGCGCAAAGGCACATGCTAGTGTAGATGCTCTCCTGCGCAAATACTTTAACGCAAAAACTCTTGCGTTAAAAGTATTTGCGCAAAATCATGCCAGTGTAGACGTAGCCTTAGGGTGTGTCAACACAGCCCCCTAAACTCAAAATAAGAGATGCAACTTGTGCTATGCACATTGTGTATCTTATTTCAAATCTACTTCCAAATAGCCTATTTTGAAATTTGGCGCATCTACACAGCACCAAATTTCGAAATAATGTGCTATTTCGAGCCAACCCGTAACTCTCATGCAACAAGGTTTACCAGGATGGTGAAATAGCTCACCTATTATTTTGAAAAATAGTTCAAAATAACGGGCAGCTTGTGTAGACGTGGGCTTGCTATTTTGGGATACCTCCGGTATCTTGAAAAGCAATAATAATTGGACAGAGTGTATCCTTTAGTTCCTAACTTAAATTGCTGCATGTTATTTGATATGCACTAAAACAACAACAGTGGGTGCGCTTCTCCCTTGTCTGGCTGCGTTTCAATACAGAATGACTTGAGCCTTATGTATAGTAGGTACATCAGAATGAGAGGATACAGATCATGCAAGATGAGAGGAAACAGAAATATGCTGTTGTTATAAACAGAAACAGAGAAAAATTCTCTGCAGATATAATGGAGTTCCATCCCTTTAAACCAGCAGAGAATAAGACCATGATTTACAAATGCAGCTTTGGTTAATTCCTATTTTGATTGAAACAATGCATTGCATTATAGAGAACAGAGGCATCAGATTCACTGTTGGGCATCACATTTATTGGATTTTTATTACTAGTTGTCTAATTAAACTGTATCATTGTTCTAGAAGTTAAAAAATCCCACCAGTAATGTCTGCGTTTGGAACCTGACATTACTGCCTCTTTGAACTAAAACGCACTAAACATAATGGGGTAGTGATGGAAGGTGACCTATCACTTCTCTGTACTGCATAAGCTATCTTTTAATCTCACATTAGCAATCGAGTCAAGAATAATTATTTTTAAAAATCACCAGATTTTAAAAGACATATAGGAATTTTTGTTAGCGTTCAGTTGTAATAATTAGTTTCCATGAAATTATTCTTCTGAGGGATGGCTGCAATTAGGCCCCGAAGGCTGATTGTAATTAGTTTTGTTATTCTTCTGGGTACAGGCAGTCCCCGAGTTACGCGGATCCGAATTACAAACGGGGATTTTCTCGCCCCGGAGGACTGGAGCGGCGGGACGCCTGGTCCCGCCGCCCGCCTCCTCCGGGGCGAGAAAAGCTGCTCCCCGTCTCC